ATCACTTCCCTTTTAAACTGTATTCTTGTTTATTAATAACAACTTTTTTTTACTGTCATATTAGTATTGTATACCTGTTTACTTTATTCTCTTATTTTTCTATAACTATAATGATCATATAAAGATGTGCCTTTACCTCACTGGTTGGAGAAAAAGCTTCTTATATTCGTTAGCATAGCTAGCTAACCAGATGCTAATAACAACAAAGTTATTGACTGTATGATCAGTATGACAGATGAACAGATCGCCACTGGGCTTTCAACTAAAGACACAGCCACGCAAAAACTGCGGCATGTGTACAGCTCCTTATGGGTACTGCAATTTGTGAAGTCCCGGCCCGGAGCCGCGTTCTGGTGCTCTCCGTTAGAACTACACTCCTGTCAGACGAGACATATACCACGTGATGACACGTTAGGCTCGTGTTGTGTTCAAGGACCCTGACCTTGGCCAGGAAAAACAAGCTTGTTTAATTATTTTGCGGTCTAGATTTCTTGAATTTTTTTCTTTTTTGCGTGTGTTTATAAATTACCTCGAGGGCCGTACCAAATGGTCTCGCGGGCCGTATATGGCCCGGAGGCCGGAGGTTCCCCACCCCTGATTTAGAGTATATCAGATGATGCTAGTAGTGGCATGATATCTACAGCTGTTGTAAGTGTAGCCTGATCTCCGTCCACTGATGGTTCATACGGTAGCAATAAAGATACAGCTGAATTTCTCAAATACTGTTCTCACTGCCATCTTGCATTTTAAACTGAGTCCTCTTGTCCTTATTTTCATTTGGTTCAGAACCTTTATTTGAAATTACTTTTTTATTATATTTGCATTTACGTATAATACATTTAATATACCCGTTTTTCCAGTAAATGATTGTGCCTGTTGTGATGAGCTTTATGTAGGAGGGTATTTACTTTAGCTAGTTTGAGGTAATAGGAAAGTATAAATAATCTCAACTTTCTGATCTTTGTCCACAGAGCGGCGTCCCGCTCCCGCAGCCGATCTCGTAGCAAGAAGAATAAGCTGAAGGTCAAGAAGGAAGAAGAAGAGCGCAGCAATGGCGCGCCGAAGAACAAGGACCGCAGCAGGAGCCGCAGCCCCAAGAGCCGCAGCCCCAAGAGCAAAAAGAGCAAGAAAGACGTCAAGAAGAAGAAGGATGACTCCAGGTCTCGCTCTAGGTCTCGCTCCAGGTCTCGCTCTAGATCAGGAATTAAAGATCGCTCCAGGAAATCAGGCTCCAAGGGCCGTGAGCCAGTTAAGAGCGAGGACGAGGGGGCTGAGCCCGAGAGGGGCTCCCGCTCTCGTTCCCGCTCCCCCGCTGAATCAAAATCCAGAGCCAGGTCTAAATCAAAGTCCAAATCCAAATCACGTACCCCCACACCTGCCAAAGCCCGCTCCCACTCCCGCTCCCGCTCAGAGTCACGCTCCAAATCCCACTCTGCCTCTCGCTCCCGTTCCCGCTCTTAGTTCATATTTTTGACAGTTGTCATGAGCCCTGATCCCAGTGTCTCCCCCCTGCCCTCCATTTACATTCCCCAGATCCCACAACACTACCCCTGCCCCTGTTTTTTGATAAATAGCTGTAGTGTTCCAGGCATTTGTGCTTCATGTCTTTTATGCACATGCTACTCAATTTCCTTTGACTTTTACGCAACATATTTTTTCATTAGAGCTGTATCGTATGGGGGTGTTTGTAAAATAACAGGGTGCAATCTCAGTTTTATAAGTTTAAATGATGGTATGTGTTTTAGCCTTTTTTTAATCAAGTGTAGAAGCATACGGTTCGGTGGGAATATGTCCCAACGTCTCCTCACCTTTTGTGAAATTCTTGTATCATTTTATTTCCGATTAAAAATGAAATGCCTGTTCCAAAGTGGTCTTGGATTTGTGTATTTGCTCAGCTGGGTATAACCTGTTTTTAATGGTTATTGGTGTGACAAGTTTACACGTGCAAACAGCGGCGCAGATAAGCAGGCTACAACCTTTTCAATTTCAAAGAACAAACCCAAACCTAATGTAACCCAAATTGGGTTACATTAACACAACAATACTGTAGAATAACAAAATGAATGCCGTGAATAAACCGAAATCACACACTCTTAAGCCTCAACGAGCTGCCCAATACACACATGTTAAAATCTGAAGAAAGCCTCTTTACCA